TCTTCTTCTGACGCTGATTCTTCCGAGTTTTCCTCTTCATCCTGAAAAGCGTTAGTATCAAATTTCTTAATTTATTTAAGGGCCAGAGACTTACCTTTCTTCTTAGGCTCGTGCTCATCCAGTTCAATCTCATGACTTCTGAGAGCGCTAATGAGTTCCTCTAGAGACACATTGTTCAGATCTTTTGAAACTTTGAAAGCAGTGACCATTGGTGCCCATCTTCTGGGTAAGCTTCTGATGATCTTTTTCACATGATCTTCTTTGGTATATCCCTTGTTCAAAACTCTCATACCAACGATCAGAGTTTGAAACCTAGAGAACATTGCTTCTATAGACTCACTTTCTTCAACTTTGAAGGCTTCATACTTCTGAACTAAAGCCAGAGCTTTAGACTCCTTAACTTGAGTGTTTCCTTCATGAGTCATTTTAAGAGACTCAAACATATTATGTGTTGTATCTCTATTAGTAATTTTTTCATATTCTACTTAAGAGATAGCATTTAGAAAAATATTTCTAGCTCTATGATGATTTTTAAAATCAGCTTTTTGTAGTCTATCCATATTTTTTCTGTCAACTTTGTTTCCTTCTGAGTCAGTAGGATGTGTGTAACCATTCAAGACTATATCCCATAGATCACTATCATGACCTAGAAAGAAACTTTCTAGTATGCCTTTCCAGTACTCAAAATCTTCTCCACCAAACACTGGAGGTTTGTTGTAACTATTATTGTTTTATTCAGCGGCCATTGTGTTTTCTTCTGGATCTTTTCCTGACACGGTTAAGTGTTGTGCTCAGAGTCAAGCTCGGGTACCAATTGAAGGGGTAAGAAAACACTTAGAAGGGGGGTTGAATAAGTGACTCTTTTTCTTTTCAAAACAAAGCTCAACAATAATGGAAGGACAAGGTTATTTTTATACTGGTTCGTTTGAACTCAAACTACTCCAGTCCACCCGCCAAGGTGATTTCTCCTTTCTCAACAAGGACTTAATCCACTATAATCAACTGATTACAAACACACAACAACTGTTGTGACTAACAATACACAAGTAATCTTACAAGTGACTAACACTACTAAGACTTAAATCTAGTCCTGGTCTGCTTGAGAAATCTGACCAAACTTGGTCTCTCAAGGAACAATTACAAGAGTTTAATCTTACAGATAGTGAAATAAAATTTTCTTCTAATCAAGCTATATCACAACTGTGATTTTTCACTTAGAATAAATTGTACAAAGTGTATGAACAATGAGTTTGTGAGCCCAGAATTTTTCACGTAGTTTCTTGCTTCTTTTTGAAATTTGATTTGTTAGTTGGCTTGCAATAAATGTCCTTCTATATATAGTAAGAACAAAATGATCGTTGCTGCCTTCAGAAAAGTGGAGAGCATTAAATGCTTGCGTGTTTCCTTACATTATTCCATTTTCCAAGAAACTAGTTTAGACACTTGAGTGCTTGCAGCCGTCTTTGCATTAATGAGTAAACGATAACTTGTAAGAACATGTTTCCTACGCTTGACAAGACAAGTTGGATTTAACGTTCATTCAGAACTTGCTTCAACGTCTTATATTCAGAACATGCTTTACTCATCTTCTGGGAAGTGTTTTGCTTGCTAAGAACTTGATCAGCGCTTGCTTTCAAGTAATCTTCTGAGCAAGGAAACCTGCTAAATGTTAGAAGATATATTTAAATAAATTGTCTTACTAGAGTCAGCAAATGCGCTTAAAACAAAAAGGTTCTTTCATCAAAGAACTTCTTCATAATTTTTTTTGCTTAGTACTTCATAATGCTTATGTCAGAACATTATCTGAAATAGTCAAATACATTCATCAGAGTATAAATTATCTAAGATATAATTTATTGTTATCATCAAAACTCTGAGATAGATCATAACTAATCTTGTTCTAACACTAACAATATAATAAAATGTATGATAATTAATATATTAAATTAGATCACATAACATCACCACTTCTTATCTTATAATCAACAATAATTGCAGCAGAAATACCAACTATAATACACATTCATCACATCAATTCACAACTTCTTTATGCAATCATATAATGCAACTCAATACTATGCAAATGTATGTGGTACCATTGTAGCAGAACTCCCATCTTAAAAATCTATCAATAAATAGAGACATCAACAAGGCATAAGCCTTCATCTTAATATTCGCCAATACAAGTCATCTTAACGAGCATAAGCTCCATCTTAAAATGCAATGTATGCGATACAATCATGAATATAATGACAACACCACAATTAACAACATCTCAACACAACATCATCGTTGGCCATAAGCCTACATCTTAATAGCTGCCAATTATTATAGGCATCTCAACATCTTTCATCAACATCATTCTCAACATCATTCATCAACATCATTTATTCATCAAACATCATATATACATCATATATTCACAACAACTCAGCCATAACAATAATACAACAGTAAATCGTCAATCTCGCAACGTTGGCCATTGGATTACAACATGATATTGCCTATAATTAATTAATCATCTAAGACGTACTTCTAAATTACCAAACCTCTACATATTACTATTCTTGTTTTAACTGGATTTCATTATGCTTAATCTTTTATTTGTGTTGATTGTATGAAAGCATGAAAATAATCAAGGCATTTTGTTTGATTTTGATCACAACTATCAGACTAAATAGTCAATTCACCTTGTGAGTGTGTGAATTTTTGTTAACCCCTTTTGAGCCTTTCTATTAATGTCCATGTTGTTTTGAATCTAATGTTTATCTATGAGTGTTTGGTTTTCCTTTTTGAATGGATGTTGATTCTTTGTTTTCTTGAACCCTCAACTATTGTGTTGTTGTTGAATTTTTACCTTACCTTAGAAAGTAGGAAGTATTTACTTTAATGGTGTTTGAATTCAAATTGGAGAAAGCAATGTTTGCTCACTTATGTTGTTAGTTGTTTTAAGGTCGTAAAAAAGAAAAGAAAAAGAAAGAAAAAAATAAAAAAGAAAGATTAAATAAAGAAAGAAAAGCCATAAGCATTCAAAAAAACCAAAAAGTGCATCAATGGTTTAGGAGGAGAATGTTTAAATAGTCAAAGATAAGGTGATCAACAAACACACCCATCAAGTTTTTAGCATTATCCCAATCAACGACTAAAACCAAGGGTCGAGTAGCCACAGTGGTCATTCATTTCATAAGTCTTTGACTTACAATCATAAACGGAGACCTAGTCAAAACCATTAACATAAATATCTTGTCTCAAACACCTTGGAAACTCAGGGTCGCACGCAACATTGGAAGATCATTCTCTATAACCCCATATATTGGAATAATCACCACATAGCAGAATTTAAAATATTGAAGAACCTCTTGTTCAAAAAACGTGAACAGTAGAAATAAACTCATTTTAAAAAAAATACATCGAGCATGAGGAAGGCCGAATGGGAGAAAATGTTAACATATTCTATTAGTGAAGTAGGGGATATTTATATTCCAAGCACTAGAATGTCCCTACTTCAATAACAATAGCATTTTTTTATTATGTCCCATCAAAGTAGACGGAAGAGGAAGGTGTTCCTAATTAGATATCAAGGGAAAGAGGTATGTGCATCCTCGTTTAGAACAAGGTTGAGCGGATATCTGATAGTATGAATCATTGAACATAAATACATAACGAGAGTGAGATGCTACAGGGACAATCTCACACACTAATCCCCCCTTGCAAAAAAACATAAAGGCAATACAAAGAATAAGGGAACAAAGGTACTTACCATTCGAAGAAGGAAGCTTACTTTGATATACAATTATAGAGATGGAAATAGCGGCTTAAAGTGTTCATAAGAAATAGATGAATGCCAGCAAATAGGAAAGACTAGAAGAATTAGACCTTTCAAGTATTTATACTCATAAGTGGAGAAAAATTAAAGGGCAAAAACTCAAATGTTTGAATTACAAAGTAGTTTCTCCATGACTGTCGTTTTAGTAAATAAATTTTGTTTTAAAATAATTGTCATTTTTATTTTTCAATGTAGTAATTATTAATATTTTTCTAATTGTATCATTTACTTTTAATTCTCTGCACTACTTCCAATACATTAATAGGGTTAATTTTGTAAAAATATAATATATTATGACAACATCATTATATTCTTTAATTTGTATGCAAAAACTTAAAAAAGAGAGTCATTTTGAAACGAGAAAATAGTGTAAAACTAAACATCAACCAATAGACAAGGCACGTGTCAAAGGCATTGTTAGAGTTATGATTGCAAAGATAGTTCCTGAGATACCCATCATGAAGAACCTATGAGTAACCCATCATGCTACCAACCCTAGACTTACATAGCAGACACCTGAAGAGCCAGAGATCGAGGATACCTAAAAACTTAAGGGAGACAAGAAATGAGACGGGGGATAGCCATCTCGATCAGGTACTTGCTATCACAAAAATTCCCAGTTTGTCACTTAAGATCCAAACATCTATTCATGTAAATTTAAGACGAATTTGTACACACAAAAATAAACAACTAAATTGAGATTTTAGTTAGACTTCAGAGATCAAAATAAGGCTTTAGCAAAGCCTATAAAAGGACTTCAGTCCTGGGACTTTAACAGGATTACCTCACGACCAGTATTTGAGCAGTCAGCCAAAAGGAGATTAAATGCATGATAACATTTTTATTCTTTTCAAAATTTCTACAACAAAAGAATAACCTCTACATATTTCAATCCATGAAATACCTTTTACCCTCTATTTCATTTTGTTTTTCCACAAAAATTGAACTAGACTTATCCATTCTCTTTCTTTATTTTCCTGTTTTCTTCTCTTCATCATTTTCATCAAATGTTACTGAAACAAAAATTACATCATTTTCACTTCTACCCCTTGTCTTGTGAAAGGGTGGACCTGAATCATTGATCGTGCTGTTATCTATCAAGTGTTTTTTGCAATCTATACTTTGCTTGGAGAAATGATGCAGTTATTGAGGTCCAAATTCCCATCTGGTTTCTCTAGGTGGGAGCAGTCGAGGAAGAATTGGAGGAAACATTTGAAGGAGTCCATGTATAGATGAGTAATCCCATGATGAGAATGATGGCTCCGGCAAGAAAGCCTGTGGGAAGAGAAGAGGCAACACCGAGGTATGGCAGTGGCAGCGTGAACAGATAGATTGATATTGGGACTGCCACATAGATATGTATAGTTGATGTTAGGTTATAACCAATTAACATGAATTTTTAATAAGATTATGTTTTTTAAAAAAGGAAGAAAACCAAAACACACTACCATATTTCATCCAATTTCCCTCTCAAATTTCAGATACTAATATCATTTCATAAATTTTATAAATAAATAAAAAAACAAGGACAAACAATAGGCAGTCCAACCCAAACTCCCTTTACACATACTCATTTTCTCCACTCATTCAAGGCCCGTTTGTTTTAAACTCATGTAAATTCATTTTGCAGGTTTACCTTCTAGTTATGCTTGTTTGTAAGCTTTAGTTGTACTCCTAAATCTCTAAGGCTTTGTTTGTGAGTTTGGAGGAGAGGGGAAGGCTTCTGAAAACAAAATTTTAAAAATATATAGGAAAATATTTGACATTTTTTGAAAAAATGATTTTGTATAGAATGATAAAAGAGTGTTTATCATTACTATATTTTTAATTTTCAGAATACTATAACAACACAAAAAATATATTTGAAAATTTTATGTAAGCCCTCCAAAACCCTCATTCAATACAAATTGAGTTCCCCAAATTAGGGGGTTTTTGGTGTTATGAAAAAAAGCAAATCCCCCAAAACCCTCCCAACCAAAATCCGTTAATTCTTTCCACTCAATCCTTCCCTTTTTTCAAAGTCCTCCCCTCCCTTCCCCTCCAAACTCCCAAACACACCCTAATGCTAATTCCTGAGATAAACAAATCTCTTACCTGATAATGTGGTGGCTAGACAAGAGACAACAGCTGAAGAGATCTTGAGGAGATGAAGCAAAGAGATATTGAAGCCCATGTTGACAATAATGAACAGCAAGGGCAGTAGGGGAGCTCCATCACATCCTGGAAACAAAAACTTGATGTACAGTTAAACTCTGAAATTTTTTTGTTACAAGTTATAGGAATTAGGAACTATGGGACATAGTTAGATATATTAGGATTTGAAAGTGTTTGAAAATGTTAATCAGTACCTATATATGGTAGAATTCCTAGAGTTGTTAATGTTATAATTCTAGTTACAGCAATGTGCTAAAGTTGAAAGAGATTAGTTGGATAGCTAGGTAGAGGTGGGAATCTATATTAGCTATAGCATGACTAAAAAAGTTTATAGAGTCTTTTCGCCACAAACTAACAACATTTATGAAGCAGATAAGTCCATTATGCAATAAACAATGGAGTTGGGAGAAAGTTGAATGGAAGCAAGTTTCAAATTTGTATTTTTTAAAAGATGAGAATGTTAATGACCCAGTTGAGATATTTGAAATCTGCTATAAAGATATTATGTGAGTATTTGGTTGTAACTTGTACATGGGAAATATTAGATTGATTTGATTATGGTTTTGTTCCTAATCAAGGGACCCGGTCGTACTCATTTATTGGTCTAAATAAACAAATTGAGGGTACATCTAGGTCTAGGTCGTATTCATTTAGGTTTGGTTAACCACATCAAGCACATTTGTGGGTACTAGGTAGACTTAAGTCACAAATAGTCCTTGATGAACTCATACAAAGCTAAACAACTGATTTGATAACCTAAAGAGATTTGGGTTATCACCTTCCCATAAGAAATAATCATATGTAAAAGAAAGTATAGCATACCACTAGACAGCGTCCCAAGATTCAGAAAGCAGGCTGCACCATCTTTAAGGTAGTTTGGCAGTTGACTGAAAGGGATGCCCCATAGTTTTGATAAGAAGGGGAGGAGGAGGCATATAAACAGTGCCTACACTAAACATATATTCATTTAGGTATCCATTAGTATGTATATTGTAATTCAAAATATGCAAATTTTATGACAGATGGCAGAGTGCCTACTTGGAAAGCAGATCCGAAGGAATTGACAACAAACAAGTCCAAAGAACCTCCCTGTTTGAGATGATATTGAATATTGATGATTAATATATATACACATTATATGAAAGTAAAAGCTACATTAGTTTGCAAATTTAAATGGAAATACTTTAGCAACATCTATTAGAAAAGCATTTAGTCTATAAGGCATTACTTGTTTGAAGCTCTTAAAAATAAACTATATGCTCTCAGTTTTGTGCAGGTTATACTTAATAATTTAGCAACATCATTATTAATAGCAACGTTAGATGCAGATGTGTTACCAAGTGCACCAGCAGTAAGATTACTTCAGTAATATCAAACCTATGATATATGGCTTGTGAAGTCATAAATTACATAAATATGAATAACAAAAAGTTCATTACATACCTTCAGTTTCCGAGCTGAATCCATAAAGATTACCTCCTACATTGTATAGAAAGGCCATAAGTTATCATTGAGAAGTAATTCAAAACCTAGAAAAATAAAATATCATCAAAATAGCAACCACCTTGAGCACAGTATCAGCTGCTTGGAATAAAAATGAAGTCATCATTAAAAGACTCCAAAATATACCAGCTTCCTGCAATGATTTCCCAGCACCAGATCCACTACATTAAGTAAATATAGGTACTTAGTCAGAAATAGTTAAACAGAATAAACACAGTTACACTTGAGAATTAGGTAAAAAATTGTCATAAATGTATAGTGGAGCATAATGAGTTGGGAGTACGTGCACGTGCACGATATTCATTTGAGGTTAAAATTAGAATGAAAAAGATTGTCTTCAAAATTATCTTGAAATGAAATGGAGTATAAATGTATCAAGAAATAACTGCATTCGACTATTTACAATCTCATGAATTTGCATGTCCAACTACAAGCCAACATCTGCACCACCCAAACTGAAGAACAATTTCTTCTGAATTTGCATGTCCTCAATCCACAGCTTTACACGTTCCAGTTCACCTTTTCATGACCGTCTCCAACCTACACAATATAAGGAAAATGCTTGTGCGGAGCATCTTTGCCTTTTTTACCAGTTCATAAAATTCGGGGTGCCTCTACAAATCACCACTATCACTTCTTAATGGCCCCGAATTTTCATCCAAACCTTCAGAGACCTCCAGGTGGTCAATCCCAATATGTGGTGTAAGGACTATTGAACCTTTGAATGCTCCCCATATAACTGTTGCTTTTCTTTCCCGCCATTACATTGTACTGCTTTCTGTTACATACATGGCTAGGGCCATATTTTCATTACTTCTAAAGCATTTCCCTTCCCTCGCCTCTCTTGCATCTCTGCTTCAATTGACCTCTTGATTTGTTCTCCCCACTGCTGGTTGGAGTTAAAGCCGATTCTATCATTCACAGAAGCTTGAGATAATAAACTTCTCTTCTCCAACACCTTAGTGATTGTAAAAATCATTATTGAAATATTGTAAACATTTGTGAATCTTTTATTCTTTCTTAATCATTAAGTAAAATAGTTCTTCTTTTGAACTCAATTCTGAGTTCCCAACATTACCTTTGCCACCCTTATACCTTACCTTCGTCATCACCATATTCTCCTCTTTGATCTTTCTACTCCCTGTAATCAGAAATAACATTCCAGTTTATTCACCCAGTCATGCACACCCTACCCAGTCATGCACACCCTACCCAGTCATGCACACCCTACCCATCAACAGGCATTTGCAATTGCCTCCATTTGTTGCTCATGGCTGATCCACCTTGAAATTAACCCTACAACTCGGCCCATTCTCCCACCACATCGAGCTCCCTTCATTGTTTCTTTCTTGAATGATATTTGTTCCAACTTTGCAAGACGTGCATCTTGTTGCCTTAAAGGAGCTTCGTTTCCTTCTTGGTTTGGATTTCATAACGTGATTGTTTTCTTCAGTGAAACCTATTGAGCCTCCATTCTTGTCAAAAACATGTAATCTTGCGATGATTCAATTGCCCAATGCTTCAGAACAGAGCCCTAGTACTAGTTTCATAAGAACTAGACTAGAAAAGATGGAAAAGAAGAATAAATATCTTTTTATTGAAATTGAGTGAAAGAATCATGAATGGCATGCATTCGAGAGACCTAAAGTTAGGAACCCAACTTAAAAGAGAATAGAATAGTATTATTAGTGTTTAAAAGAAACTATTACTTAGAATGAATTCCCTATAATCCCAAAGCAAAGCTCCTGAAAACAAGAAAGAATCCTCCCTTTGCCCAACCCTAAGATTCTAGTACAAATGATACTGAATAGTCACATCTTTCCCTCTCACACACCTCATATACTCCTCTAACGTGTATCTTCTCCCACTATCTCTAACTAACTTGCCAGCTCAGCACTCCCCCTTTCCTTTTGGGCCTTTATCTTAATGGGTCAAATTACCTGAACTCTTAATTTTCCAAATTCTCGAATCAAGTGCCTCCCAATGCCCTCTCCCCTCTTTTTGTTATCCTTAAATCTTCTCTTAACTAAATAACAGCTGCAATCAGTAACTGTTGCCGGGTTACATTTCACAAAGGGCCTAATTGTTTCCTTTCTATTTCTCCAACTATACACCATTCAGGTGAGAAGTCCCGACCCGACCCCTATCAATTCTATTTCTCCTGCAATAGACTCCCTATTACAAATGTATTAGCAATAAGAGACCACAAGGATATTAGATAAGAGGTGATTGAGTTTCTGACCCCCGAGTTAAATGTTATGAGTCAAAAAGCTGATTGCCACTGGCAACAAGCAAAGTTCAGCAGGAAGGGTGGATAAGGGTGAGTGAAAATACATGACTAGGAGACCAATGTGACTGAGGGGGTGATAGATAAACCACTTTGAACTAAGTGCAGACAATCCAGATTCAGTAATGGGCAAACAACCAGATAGCAGTGACAGCAGTTGGAGTACCAGTTTCCCTCTTTTTTGTTATCTTTGGTCTTCAAAAAAAAAAGAAAGCAAGGACATCATATATGATTTTTGTTTAGAAGAACGGTTTACTTAGGTTAGGTCCATTAAATGAGTTTCTAATACCTAGAATTAAGTAGAGAAGCATGGTAAAATACCGATGAAGTAATATGAATCGCTTCGGCCTTGGAATGAACTCAACCATTTAGGATTATATACATAGTATTAAGAAATAATTACATTTTACAAGAAACAATAAATAAGAAGGAAGAGTTCCTAGAAATCTAATGGTTCCAATGATACTTGGAGCAGTTGCAAAGTCTATACCAGCCACAACTACATTACAAATAGCAACATGTATGTGCAATAAGAAGTTAAAACAATTTTATTTATTTAAAAATAAAATAATATTGTTAAGAGTCCCACATTGAATAATATATGGCCCGAACATAAGTGGGGGCAGTCCTCACCCTACAAGCTGGTTTAAAGCCGGTTTTGTAGGGATGAGTTAGGCCCAACCACATTTCTTAACAAATCTAACAGCAGCTAAGGGAAATGTAACTAGTACAAGTTAAAACAGAGTTGTTTTCAGACTACATTTGAAAAATGAATAAATGATACAAGTGAAGTAACACATGGAGTCACCAAGAGATTGAAAATCAGCAAAATTCTGACTTAGCTCTTCAGCACGAGATCTACTAACAAAATTAAAAAGCATTAAGTAGTTTTTTACTGTGTTACCCACACCCTCTTAAACTCACTAGTGTAGTGCATATGTTGACACTCAAAACACAAGCCAGTATAGTCTAACATCCATGAAACTAACATGTCTGACCTTGCTACAGTGATAATTACACCAATGGCCACAAGAAAGCATCCAAGTAGTTGGTTGACTTTATATCTTCTCCCAAGAAAAATAGTTGACAGGAGAATTTGCCACACAAGAAAAGTCTGCAACAAAATTTTAGGTGAATTTATCTATCTTTATTTTACCTTTCACGTGAAATGTACGCAAGTTGCTTAAAGATGAGCTAAATAATGCATAGAAACTAACCTAAGTTGGTTTAGGTTACAGTCTATGAACCAAACTTTTAATTTTGACTGTAAAAATCACGATGGTTGCGTTCTCTCACCATGTTTCAAGAAAAACATTTTACATCTAGGATAACTTGACCAGTCATCAGGCAAGACATATATCCAAGGACATTGGTCTTGTTTCTTTGGATGGAAGGTACATAATTGCCAACTTGTAAGAGCATGTGAAGTGAACCAACAATAGTGGTATTCTAGGGATTTTAGACGACTGAAACAATGGACTTTACACAATGGAGTAACAGACCTTATACAATAGCAATAATGGAATTCATACATTTGAGTGTCGAGATTACACCAGTTGTAGCCAGACCTGTCTCATTGTCCAAAGTGTCATTATTACCACCGCCATCCCAACATTAGAGGACGGTCTAGTATCAAGGGATTGGACATCTGATTGTAAATAATCAGGGCAGTAGACAGAAGGAGTTTTTTTAAAAAATAGTGTAGCTCCTGGGGATGCTCAAATCTATCTTTTGAATAATTATTGGACATAGGGTGTTAGGACTAGATTTGTATCAACCCAAACTCATGTAAATACACATGTGTGTGCGATGATGCATGGTTTCTATGTTTGTTTGACTATGATGTGTGCGATGATGCATGGTTTCTATGTTTGTTTGACTATGATGTGTGATTAATGTAACTAATTACACCTCTTATTTTAATTTATGAACAATTACAGTGACACCTATGTTAAAGAACAGCTACTCAATCATCTATTTGAACATTACTAATTGAGACAAAACATTGCTTAGAATAAGGACATCACAATAATTGGCAGAGAGCAATTGAATGCTGATGATTTTCACCTGAGACAAGATTGGAATTGATGCACCCGATAGCATTGCTGATACGACATAAAAAGGAACAAACAATTAAATGAAATTCAGACATGCACATATTTATAAACAAGTTGTACAATCCAATGATATTATTAACTAATTATCTGCTACAATAGCTATGAGATATGAGAGATGTGAAGGTCTAAATGTTTCAAAAATTATAGTTGAAGGTGAACACACCATAAAATAGGGATAAAAAAGAAAACAAAAATTTTAAAAACATATATTGTTAACGATATTCTACCAACATAAATTACTGCAAGAGTTGATTCACTCAAAATAAAATTACCAATACCAACATGCCTGCCGCTGTTTTTATTATTTTTAGCTAACTTAGTTAGTACTTTTGTGTTTACGTTTCTACTATTCAGGAAGAAAAATTGATGGGAGGAAGATTACAAAATATATGAGCACTTTAAACAGAAGAATAGAAATTAGGACAAGCATCACCTGCAGCCGCCATTCCTGTGGCAGCACCCAGAGCTTCCAAAAGACCAACAATTAGAAATGGAGTTTTTGGCATTGACAGCATCTCATCAGTGACAATGCCAGCACGGTACCGGATACACAAAATAGAAAAGTATACAATAACATATCTGAAAAAGGAAAGGAAAAAACAGTAAAGTTAGTTATGTAACCCAGAAAAAAGGGAGAGGAACTCCCCTATCTGCATTCTATGCTATTAGACAACAGGGTAAAAATTGCAAGTACTATTCTATTAAAAAAAATTGTTTTAAGGTTATTGCCAATTCAAAACACAAACATACAAATATTATTTTATAACAGCCATCAAGGGCATTCATTTTTTTTCAGAATTCCTGGCTATACTTTTTCAATTATTCTAGTTGGAGTATTTGTATTAGGATTTATGAAGCATAGACAACCTGAACACAACGGCGACACTGACACGGCGACCCCGGTAATAATTAAAAAAAATGAATAAATTAAACGTAATCTCATGTGTCGTCGTTGCAGGTGCCCGACACGGATACGGATACGCCTTCTTTCAGAGGTGTGGTTGCTATATAGTGCTATATAGATTATGATCTAAATATTTATAGTCTAATACAACAAAAATAAATAAATAAAAGTATAGAAATGTTTTTCATCAAGTTGATTGGAATTTTCTAAACAGAAATTGAGGAGCCATATAAAATAAATAAATAGTACTAGTTAAATGTTAGGGTATATGATTAAAATAAATATTGAAAAACGTATAAGCAATGTGTCTTAAATTTGACTTACTTTACAACATTATTTTAAATTTTGCATAATTAAAAAATAGAACTGCCAAAAATTTCCTTTTATAATAAATTCGGTATCCCGGTCAATCTACCCAACAAACAAAGCAAGATTTAGCACATATTTCAAACATCACAATCAATGACAAAATATTTTCAAAAAAATAGAAAATTAATCAATTCTTCAAAAAGAACAAAAATATATATAATCTACCAGTTTTCTTTTAAGTAGTGAAGTGGATGGAATTCATCCTTTAAAGGTGAATAAGAGGGTGTCTACCCAAACTTTATACGCATATGTTTCTGCACAACTACCAACTGAGTTGGCTTAAAAGACATAACCTATCAGTTTTATAGGATTACTTTGCAAGAATTTTATCACTAACCATTGAAACTCGACACATGCATTCAAAATGGAAATAAAAATAAATAAATAAATAAATAAATAAAAGCAAAAGTGGTGAAAAGCAACACATTACACAAAAGTTGAAATCTGAGCCAAGAAGAAAGGGTATTGCTTCAAAGGAACCAACGCCAGCTTATACAGCACCCTATTTCCGACTCCCGTCGCCACCACCGCCGCTGCAGCAACCACCACCTTAACAGCCTGATTCACATCTTTCCGACTGTTATCATCTGCCAGCGAGTGTGGCATCTCCTTCTCATCCTCCTCACTGAAATCCGATCTCTCCCGTGCGCCGCTGTTTCCAATCGCTTCCACCACCGGAGTCCACGGGCGACGTCGAAGCTGTAGAACGACTCCTGGACGTTCAAGTGAATATCCATAACGAATTCTGTAAATTGACGTGGAGTTCGTCGGTTGGAGTAAGCGGACCTGACCGTAGAGTGTGGAGGTGCCGGCAGCAGGTAACCGCCGGCAGAGTGAGGCCATAGGGAGCAGAAATGTTGGTGCGGGAATTTAAAATTGGTATATGTTGAAAAATGGGAGATAGATTGAGTGAGTGTGTCTCACATGCTGAAAGCGAACACACTTATGTAGAAAAAAGTTTAAGTTCCAAAATAAAATATAAATAAATAAAGAGTATCAGTGCAGTGACGGCAAAAAAAAATTCCAAAAGTTTCTTAAACGAAAATATTTTTTTTTCCTTACCTTTGTTCGGACTCCATCTTAGTTTCTTATTTTTTTAAAAGTGCAAAATTAAGGACAAATGTGTTCCGTTTTTTAAATTTAAGAGATTGTTTTACATTTTTTAAAAGATAAAAGATCAAAATAGATTTCAAAGCAAAGTTAGAGGGTAAAAAATATGTTTTTCCTATAAAAAATGAGGAATGCATTACACTATATGTAAGGGATGAGGCAACATTTGAAGTTAGTGCAATTAATCTTCTTCCTCTTCTGATATTCATTTCCTCTCTAAATTGTGTAAAATGTGAGTCAAAAATAGAATAAAATAAGCAAACTTGAGTGTGTGAGTGAACATCACCGAAGAGAGTTGGTGTTTATGCCTTGTCAGAGTTTATTTGTTCTAACAACTGGCTTCTAGAGTTCAGGTTATGATCTTTGGTGGATTTTTACAATGTCTCTCATCCAAATGGTTATTTTTTTAATTAATTTTCTCATCTTAAATGGAAAGAATTACGATAATTGGTGTAAGAAAATGAAAGTGATTTATTTGCTATCAAGATGTGTGGAATCTAGTAAAGAATGAAGTGACGGCAACAAGTGACAGCGTTATTAATGATCAAAAGAATGCTTACAAAGAATTAAAGAAGAAGGATTATAAAGTCCTCTTTATAATTCATCAATGTGTTGATCTGGATAATTTTGAAAAAGTTAAGATGTTGAATCATCGAATGGGACATGGGATATCTTGGAAAAGTCATTTGGTGATGTTGAGAAAGTGAAAGATGTGAATTTACAAACTCACAAAAGATTGTATGAATTGCTTCAGATGGAAGAAAATGAGATCATGGTTGATTTCTTCACAAGGGTGACTAGGTTAATAAATTAAACCAAGATGTGTGCTGAAGTGATAACAATAAGTCAATAGTTGTAAAAATCTTGAGATCTTTACTTCTAAAATTTGATCACATAGTGGTAGCCATGAAAGAATCCAAGTATTTGTCAAGTCTGACAGAGGAAGAACTGTAATGGACCCTTGAATTACATGAGCAAAGAATGGTGGAGATATATGCAAGCAAGACAAAAACTAATGTGGCATTACAGGCATAATTTGGCAGAGATCGAAAGGGTAAAGGAAAATAGAATGGAAGCAAAGGTAGAGGTGGCTACAACAATTCAAATTACATAAGTCACCAACAAGAAGCAAGTCTATCGAATTAGAAGCAAGTTGAAAATCAAGGAGGTGATATAGGTGGTTTTGTCAACAAAGGAAGATGGGGAAGAGAGAGGTTTGACAAGAGTAACATCTAATGTTACAATTGTCAAAAATTCGGTCATTTACAGATGAATGTTTTGTAATTAAGAAGAATAAAAAAGGTGATGCAAAGCTTGCAAAACAAGATGTTGAAGATTTATTTCTCGTGGTTGTTGGAACAAAATTTGTTTATACCATATCCCTTGCATTTTTATGATAACAAAGTATTTAAAGAACAGTTGGATAAACTAATGTGTGTTCAAGTGTGCATGTACAAAGATCAATATATTGATTGAAAGTCAGTTCTGAAATTGCACTGAACATTGAAAGAGAAGCTCTTAAGAGACAGATTTTGAAGATCAGACTCTGAAGAATTAACTTCTGATCAAGATGGTCAAAATTTGATGTCTCTAGACTCTGAACAAGCTAGTCTCTAAAGAGTACAAGTCTGAAGACTCTGAAGAACCAGAACCTAAATCCAGTTAAAGCTCAAGAACCGGGGAATTCATGACACATTGCTGTCAGACTCTAAGGTCAATTTTCATGTTTTAGTCATGTGATAACTCAGCATAAATTTGCAGAAGCGTGTAGGTTTGTAACTGATAGTTCTTTTTGTAGAAAAGGAAGTTCAAATGAGTTTGAAACAAAATTATCCATTTGAGGAAGCTTTGCAACGGATTTGTTAATGCTTTTCTACAACATCTCTCTTGTGCTTGAAGATCTCTCCAATGAATCTTTCATGGAACTATATAAAAAGAGTTAAACATTTAGGGAAAGACACAACAATGTGGCTTGACAAGAAAAGGATAAGTTATTGTGTCAAAACAAAGAGCACAAGCTAATTTAGAACTTCTTACCAATTGTACATTCTTAGAAGTTCTTAAGTCTTAGAGTTTTTTGTGTTGTAATCTGTTTACACCTCTAATTGTATATTAAGTGTAATAATCACTCTATCATTATCATTTATCTGTTATATAGATTATTAGAAGTCTCTTACATGTGTGTTTGAGTAGTGAAGTTTCTTGTTTGTATGCTTGAGCATTTGTGAAGTCTCTTGCTTGTGTGTTATAGCATTTGTGAAGTCTATTGCTTGTGTGCTTGAGCATTAAAGTCCCTTACTTGTGTGTTTGGATATTTAAAGTCTCTTGCTTGTGTGCTTGAGAAACTTGTAATCATATTCGATTATAGAGAAAATCTCGTGAAAGTGCAAGGGGACTGGACTACTTCTGATTTGTAGGAGGAACCATGATAAATTGCTTGTGTGTTAACTTATTCTATTCTTTACTTCTGCTCAAAATCTGATAGCAGATCTTAAGAAGAAAAGTAGAAAAATTTAACATAATTCAACCTCGTTCTTCTTGTGTTTTTCTCACCTTCATTTAGTTGGCATCAGAGCATGGTCTATGCATCAACACTTAACAGTGGTACATAAAAGATCCTGAGAGAAAAACACCATGTCTGAATATAAAGTTATTAAGAATGCTGAAGCTAGTACATCGGAGAAGATCAATTATATATCCAAACCTCTAACGTTTAGTGGAAATTCTATTGAGTTTGGGTGGTGGAAAAGCAAGATGTATACTCACATCATAGGTCTTGATGATGAGTTATAGAATATTCTTTAAGATGGAATTGATTTTGTTCTTTATGGAGTAGGTATGGTGGCTGATAGAAAGAGCCTCGCACCTGATCAGGAAAAGATATATATAAAGCATCACAGAGTCAGAGGAATCTTGATAGATGCTCTACCTCACTCTGAGTATCTCAAAATTATGGAAAAATCTACTTCCAAAACTATCTTTAAATCTTTGTGTGCTCCTATGAAGTAAATCAGCAAGTTAAAGAAGCTAAAGAAAATCTTTTGGTTCAACAATATGAGTTATTCAAAATGAAGGAGTATGAAGACATTAAAACCATGTTCTCTAGGTTTCAAGTTCTTGTATCCGGTCTTTAAGTGTTGAACAAAAGTTATACTACTATTGATCATGTCAAGAAGATTCTTAGGAGTATTCATGCCAAGTATAGCCCCAAGGTGACTAATATTCAAGAAGATAGAGACTTAAACAACATAAGTATAGAAAGCTTGATTAGCAATATCCAGAGTCATGAGATAGAGCTTATTGGAGATGAACGTGTTTAGAAGTCAAAATCTCTTGCTTTGAAGCCTGTTGATCATAATGCTAAATCTTCATTAATGAGGAGATCTGAAGAATCCACTCATGAAGAAGCTTCTGAAAAAAATCAAAAGATGAAGAAATGACCTTTTTAATCAAAATATTTCAATATTTGGCCAGCAAGAAAAACATAAGGCTCCCAAGCAAAGGGAATGACTTCAGAGGAACAAGCTCTTGAATGAACAAAGATGATCAGAAAGACGCTTCAACTACAAGAACCCTGGTCACCTTATTATTGAATGTCCAGAGTTGCAGAAGGACCAGTTGTTAAAATAAAGCTTTCAGAAGAACAGCTTCAGAAAAAAGGTCAAGAAAAGTCGCATGGCAACATGGAATGAACTTGATAAAGAAGAAGAATCTGACAAAGATAAGGAAGAAGCCAATCTGGCTCTGATGGTTTTAACATCTGTAGACACTGAATCCGGCCCATGTTCTAGATTATATTTTGAAGAAGAAATTGAGATATGCTTAAAGGGAGTGAAGCATTTGGCAAAAAAATACAGAGCCGCCATCAAACTTTATTTATCCCAAAGGAAGGGGAAATATCGAGAAAACCTCAAATGGATGGATAAGATGGTCTTGTGACCAAGAGATAAGGGTACGAAAGTCGATTATGTAAGGGGGAGATATTAACACCTCTCGCATCTGTTGTACTCAACGGGATCCACTTTGATTGTTTGTTTCTAAGAGTGTGTATTTCTAAAACTATAGTTGCTAAGGGAAATGCATGAATTGCTTAAGGGAAGAAAGAAAATATTTTTATTATTGCGTTCGCGAAAGCCTCACAACCTTGTGCCTACGTATCCTGTAACACCCTAAAAATATAGATTTAATTATTTAATTAATTTAGTATGAATATTAGTGATTATTGGTGAAAATATGCATTATGGCGAATTAGTCGATGTGGTGTATTTGTATGAGTTGATAGATTTTATGATGTGATGTGATGTGAAGTAATGTGTTTGTTGATGATGAGATGTCTTAGAAATTATAGAAGCTGAGGTGTTAATGGTGTATGACTGAAACCATAGAACCATGGGGTGTGGTGAGAAGACTAGTAATCATTTTATTATTATTATTATTATTATTATAGATACAAGTTATTTATAATATTAGTAATTAAAAATAAGAAGGGAACGGTGAGAATATGAGTTTAGGGGTCTAAGATGTGTTATTAGAAAACAAAAGTGAGAACACGAGAAAACAGATCGTAGAAGTGAGAAGCAGAAGAGAAGAGGAAGAACCTAGGGCTAAAGGGAAGACTCCATCAGAGAAGGGAAGAGAACTCAAAACCTAAGATATGGGTGGGGTTCTAACTCTATAAGGGTTTATATGATGGTGGGTATTGGTAGAGTTAGGTATTTTCATCTTTATATGGA